TCTTCCCAGAGATCACATGGACCTTCACGACTGCCGATTAGATGTGGATGCATGATTCCAGGAGAATACTGATAACTAACCGTCTAATCTATCCCTTGTCAACGTAGAAAGAGGGGTTGATATTTCTCATCTTGGGCTGAAAAGTGTGGAGGAGCTGATCTTCCCAGGGATCATATTGGTGATCTTAACTGGATGCAAGGAGTGGGTGGAGGTTCGCTGGAAATTCTGGAGGGGTATTCGTGTAGTATATCCCGTATGAACGTAGGAAGAGGAGACCAACCTTAGTTTTTGTCTCGCATTTCACATCCAGCTGCTGCAACCGGAGAGTGAGGCGACCAGCGATCTGGCTGCCGAGAAACCAGGGTAGGCAGTGGCAACCTGGCTGGAGAACATCATCGAACTTTCCGAATCTTTCCTTAATAGCCACAGTGGACTGGTCAACTTTTACACAGCATAACAGGTTTCCCATGGCTAATCTGGAAACAAAATTGCGTCAAAACTAGCGAGCAGACGGTAAAAAGATAAGCTATTTTATCAAATGTCGCAGAGATCGACGCGCGGAGTGATGAAAATCCGTGACTTAGTCTGCGACAGAAGCTGATTAAAGAAAAGTGTTTCCTAAGGAATATAGTTCGCCAACCTGAAGTTCTGAATAGGAGTCCCTATGAGATGGATTCAAGCCCAGGATGAGCCATATGAAGCCTGGGACCAACCGAAAAATTCAACTCTGGCTTGGGAAAAGTGAACCCACGTCTCCCACGGTGGATGAGCTTTGTTATGACCAGGAACATGTGGAACCGACGAAAGTGGTCACTGATAAGCAGTTTATGCGGATGACTGAAGATAAGAGGAAGCTTCAGCCGGACTTAAATCCCAGGAGAGGGCTGAAAATCTGGTAGAAAACCAAACATTTGATTCTAACGATGAGGATATAATATTGAACCCCCATCATAATTTCATTCTTTAGCGTGATCATTTTTCTCGTACCGGAATTAGAGACAAAAAGGACCCATGAATATGAGGAACTTACCGCCTTGGCTGCCCTGCAAATCCAAGCTGGGAGAAGGAAACAAAGATATGGTTGCAAGGGGAAGGCAAAGGAACCGAAGGAGTGGAGATATAAGAGGAAGATGGCAGCATTTATATACACTGGGACCCAGCAGGGCGCAGATTAAAGAAAACAAGAAACTCAGAGGTGAATGGATCAGGACAACATCGGCACCAACAAGGTCGCGGGCAAGTTCCTGGATTACGTCATTTATGAACAGCTCCAGATCGGCGAGATCGGTTTTCTCATAAAACAGAAAGCATAGGAAGCCAACCCCTCGACTCAAAGAAGCTATACCCAATAAAAAGGGGTATGTTCGCTTTCACATGTCGACTCGGCGACGTTGACTTCCATTTGACAGATGCCAACCCGCGGATTCCAATCTCCAGCGAAATCTATGACATAAAGAAAGAGGCCATGACCCCACCGCGTGGAGACTGGACAGCTTGCCGCGTAATTCCCTGTTTCCGATCCCGCACGCAATCGAGAAAGCAAAAGTCAGCGAGGCCAGGCCCCATTTCCCAAACCCTCTTGGCATGAAGAGGTCACCGTGAAGAGCGTTCAAACACGATAAGATAGATTTAATAGATGCAACAGAGACATCAAAGAGAAGTGTAAGAAGAACGATGGAGCAGATGAGAGAGAGACAGAGAGAGACAGAGAAGGTGGGCGGAAAAGGGGGGAGGGGAGTGTGGTTCAAGAGAAGAAGATATCTAAAAGGATGAAGAGACGAGGAAGCACCTCAAGGTCTCAAGACTTTGAAAGGGTTACGGGCGACCTCGGAAGCTTCCTGCTCTTCTTACCTGCCTCTGAAACTAATTCTGGGGATACAGGCGGCGATTGCTGTCGGATAAAATTATGGAGCCCTTCGCATTCTCAAACGTGATACAGACGTCCAGTACATGTCACGTTCTTGACATTCATTCGACGCGGGAAGACTTGTCAACGTTAAATGGACATTGTTTCCCGAAATATTCGGTTGGGCGGGCTCGTATAGAATGGCCAAGAGGCTGGAGAGAACAGGTAGTTGACTTTTCGATAAGACTCAACCAAAAGTAGTGACCCAGCCTATTATGAGTCTCAGGTCTATCTTAATTTCTAATTTAATCAAGAAAATGGCGATCTATATTTGGATAAAGAAAACCTAACTTGAACTCCTTCATGCATAATGATTATCGTTAATCATTCAATTGGATCAGTCGGACCCAGTCTAGATTATAAGAAGAATGTGAAAATTTAATGGCAAATACTGGATCAATGAATCCTTCTCATCATCATCATCATATCAGGGTATTCATGAAAGTCCCCAACGGAAAGTCCTCCGTTGTTAGCAAGGGACACTGACCCTGCAGGTGAGCATGCCTAATTAGCGGATCAGCCTCATTGCGAACTGGGGCGATTATCATACCCAACTTGGCCTTAATCACACCCTTGTTCGAGAACCCCAACTGGGGCTGAGGTGGGCCCTAGTGGACGAAGAAGCCACTATACATCAACTACCCAATTGCCGTCATCACTATTTAGGGAAGTTCATCCGATCATCCGTCTGTAAACCAACAAGCAATGGGAGGAGAAGGCCCCAGTGGAAGCCCACCTGCTTGGCATTGATGTTGTCTGGGAGACTGTAGCGGTTTTCCTGGCTAACGATGATCGGAAGCCAGCTGCCGTTGACGCCATACTATTGGGATGAGTAGAGAATGATCATCCCTAATTCGTGGAGGCACCAAGATTTTGTAGTGGATCGTGTCGTACCAACACAGATACTTGGCATATCAATATCAGTTAGATCCAAGATCTATTATTGAACTGCTCATTCAATAAGCACTTTCAATATTATGCATTGAAGATGACTTGAACCTCCACGCTCTTTAACGCGAGATTTTGAGTTTAGCATGTCAACAATTTCACCATCAAGGTATCTTGAAAGTTAATCGTATTTCATGAATACATTATCTATTTAGTGTGATATACGGAATATATGACAAAGGTAGAGTGTTGGAGTATTTCTATATAGTGATTGGGGGAGTGCTAAATTAATCATATTAGGGGAAGATAAGCGTTCTCACTTCCCTTCTTTCATAGCACAAGACTGATACAAAATACACGAGAGAGATAAGAGGAATAGATAGCGAGAATAGAAAGAACACACTAAATTTAATATGGTTCAGAGAATGAACCTACGTGTATGCTCGCACCGAGATCTTCTTTGTTCGAGAGTGAGAATATCATCTTACAACTCTTCCATGGCATCATACATGCGCATATGCCTTAACAGAGACATGGTTTCTCCCCCTCTTCTCACAAGGTTAAGGAAAATTACCTAGGGACAAAGGACACGTCCCAAAGTTGGGCCAGCGTACTCGCAGAAGAACTCAT